TTATTATTATTATTATTAGAAACACAACAAGATGAGTCCACAGCAGACAAGATCACTCTGCTGGATGTTGTATTGGATCACACATTGGACAATTCCTGAGTGTCTAGGACTATGTGATGTATCGGTGAATAATGTGTGCAGATCCCAGTAAGGTGACCTTCTGCAGCTGGAATTTTGTCAGCGCCGATTGTGTTTAAGTGCAGGATTATTATTGCTATTATTATTATTATTATTATTATTATTATTATTATTATTATTATTTGGCTGGTATTACACTTAGAGAATGTACCTGTTCTGACTTACATACAAATTCAACTTAGGAACAAACCTATAGAACCGATTTTGTTCATAACTTGCAGACTACCTGTAATCTGAAATACAGTAGAGTCTTGCTTATCTGACATAAGCGGGCTGGCAGAACATCGAATAAACAAAAATGTCGACTGTTACCCGTCTGATGTGGTGCTGGACACCTAAAATACTAACAAGGACTCAAAGGATTATGGCAAGGCAATGCCTCAGGGTTAGAGTGGCCCAGCAGGAAGTTCCCAGATGCGGAAGTGGAGAATGGAAATCACAGAGGGAAGGTGGGAGGATGCTTCCACTTCTGGTTCTCCCTCTTTCCCCCCTTTCCTCCCTCCTCCTCCTCCTCCTCGTCTTGCCTTTTTCAATTATTGGGAATGGAGAGAGAGTTTTTATTTTTGTCGTGTCAGGGCAACCAGTCAATTGTATTACATTTCTAACAGAACAAAACAAACAGACAAAATACAAAATTTGCGAGTTTGGTAGTTGATTAAATGTCCTTTGTCCAGTAGCTGACCACTTGGAGTGCTTCTGGTGTTACTGCAAGAAGGTCCTCCATTGTGCATGTGGCAGGGCTCAGGGTGCATTGCAGCAGGTGGTCTGTGGTTTGCTCCTCTCCACACTCACATGTCGAGGATTCCACTTTGTGGCCCCATTTCTTGAGGTTGGCTCTGCATCTCGTGGTGCCAGAGCGCAGCCTGTTCAGCGCTTTCCAAGTCGCCCAGTCTTCTCTGTGCCCAGGGGGAGTCTCTCATTTGGGATCAGCCACTGGTTGAGGTGCTGGGTTTGAGCCTGCCACTTTTGGACTCTCGTTTGCTGAAGTGTTCCAGCGAGTGTCTCTGTAGATCTTAGAAAACTATTTCTAGATTTAAGTCATTGACGTGCTGGCTGATACCCAAACAGGGGATGAGCTGGAGATGTCACTGCCTTGGCCCTTTCACTATTGGCTGCTACTTCCCGGTGGATGTCAGGTGGTGCAATACCAGCTAAACAATGTAATTTCTCGAGTGGTGTAGGGTGCAGACACCCCGTGATAATGCGGCATGTCTCATTCAGAGCCACATCTACTGTTTTAGTGTGGTGAGATGTGTTCCACACTGGGCATGCATACTGTGACAGTGCGAGTGGTGCCACCTATGTATAGAAATGTTAGTTGCAAGATTTAAACTGTTGTATCATACTTAATCCTGCCCCTTTTACCCTGCTTATGTATAGTTGTATGGATTGGTTACTTATAGCTGTCAATCAGTACTGTTTGGCTCCACCCCTTCCTGCAGGAGGGGAGAGCTTCCTTTCTTTTCATTCTGCCATCAGAGTTCCTACCATATGGACGTGAGTAAGAGACTTGACTCTAAAGGACCCTGATATAAGTTACCTCTTAGCATCAACTCTGAGGTTTTTTACCCTTGGGACTCATGCTTTATGTCCAGATCGTCCTGGACAACATTGAGGAGACCCAAGTGCCTTCAAACCGGTTCTTTTGGCACCAAAGGAAGATCCTGAGTCTTCAAAACATAGGCCATCTGAACTGGGGTTGTGGTTTGCTCCGGCATTCACAGCCATTGAGGAAAGAGGAAACTTGGTGAGGCTTCTCAGCTTCAAACTCCTTGGACCCAGGACTAATTAAGACTGTAACGTATATTTTCCTTCACCCCTCTGAAGTTTTCCAGCTCATTGCTTTAAAGAAATGACTTTGTGATAAATAAAACTTATTTTGAGTTATTTACAGCGTTTTGGGTTCTTGAAGGTTCCAGTTTCCTATAGGAGGGCAAGAAGCAATCCCCTGGGGGAAAGATGCCACATCCATCCCTCCTTTATTGAAAATAATAGCCCCCAGGCATGACGGCACACATACTCAGCAGCAGAGTAGAATAGCGCAAGGAGAGAGAGTGGAGGAGTGCTCCTTTAACTGAAGGGGAAATGCTGGAAGAAACGGGGGGGGGGGGGGTTGGATAAGCGAAGGTCGGATACACAAGACTCTACTGTAAATGCAAGAGTGCGTTTCTCTCACTGCTGAATCAATCTCAACCTACTGTCACACAACTAGGATGGGGAAAGTGTTCTAGACTTCCTAATTGAGGCAAAATATTAACCAGTTCCATTCTGGGAAGTCTGAACTTTCCTGTGTAGTACAGGAGTTTTCCCTGCTCGTATTTCTTGAGCAATGAGAAGACCAAAATTCCACAAAAACTTGCAGCCAGTAAGAATCTGGTGAGCTCAAAGTGCAACACAGTGAAACAGGACAGAATATGGATGATGATGATTTTTAAAGTTACATCGGTATATTAAGTTACGCAACATATTCAAGGATTCCATAGCATTGAGCCATGAGAGAGGTGTCAAACTGCCTTAATTTTACACTGAATATGAATTAGCACAAATTTCTATAGCACAGACTGAACTTTGGCTTTCTAAACACAAATTAGGGCTTTCTGTGTCTCACTTCCTCAAATCTGGACATTCTGTACAAACACAGGCTTCGTTTCTAATTTTTCCTCCATTTGAAAGAATAGGTAAGTGAAATAAGCACAGGACAAGAACAACTGTGGTAACATTTTTATTCTGTAGGGTGGAGGGGAAAGTGCAAATATATGGTACAATGGCTTTTCAGTGTGGTTACAAGGTCAAAATCCTCTGAGTAGGTTCTCTCCCAATAAATCAGAGCTTGGAGACACCAAATGGTAGAGTTAATGGGTTAACGCTAAACCATTAAAGTAGCACTCCAAGTGGCCAGCTACTGGACAAAGGACATTTAATCAACTACCAAACACACAAATTTTGTATTTTGTCTGTTTGTTTGTTTGTTTGTTTTGTTAGGGGGTGTCAGAGGGGTTGGCAAAGACCATCAGAAAATACAGTATTTTCTGTTGGTCATGGGGGCTCTGTGTGGGAAGTTTGTCACAATTCTATCATTGGTAGGGTTCAGAATGCCCTTTGATTATAGGTGAACTATAAATCCCAGCAACTACAATTCCCAAATGTCAAGGTCTATTTCCCCCAAACTCCACCAGTGTTCACAATTGGGCATATTGAGTATTCAGGCCAAGTTTGGTCCAGATCTATCATTGTTTGAGTCCATAGTGCTCTCTGGATGTAAGGTAAAGGTAAAGGTTTTCCCTTGACATTAAGTCCACTCGTCTCCAACTCTGGTGGTTGGCGAAGAGCCAGCATTGTCCGTAGACACCTCCAAGGTCATGTGGCCGGCATGACTGCATGGAGCGCTGTTACCTTCCCGCTGGAGCGGTACCTATTGATCTCCTCACATTTGCATGTTTTTGAACTGCTAGGTTGGAACAAGCCGGGGTCATAAGCAGGAGCTCACGCCGTCCCTCAGATTTGAATCTGAAACATTTTGATCTCTCTGGATGTAGGTGAACTAAAACCTAAAAACTCAAGGTCAATGCCCACCAAACCCTTCCAGTATTTTCTATTAGTCATGGGAGTTCTGTGTGTCAAGTTTGGTTCAATTCCATCGTTGGTGGAGTTCAGAATGCTCTTTGATTGTAGGTTAATCATAAACTCCTGCAACTACAACTCCCAACTGACAAAATCAATCCCCTCCCCAACCCCACCAGTATTCAAATTTGGGCGTATTGGGTATTTGTGTCAAATTTGGCCCAGTGAATGAAAATACATCCTGCATATCAGATATTTGCATTACGATTCATAACAGTAGCAAAATGACTGTTATGAATTAGCAACGAAAATAATGTTATGGTTGGGGGTCACCACAACATGGGGAACTGTATTAAGGGGTCACGGCATTAGGAAGGTTGAGAACCACTGCATTAAAGGGAAAGATATGCTAAAACTTTCAAAATTGCTGTAAAGTTCATTCTTTTATTCATAATTTAATTAAAGTTTGGAATAGTGAATAATAAAACACCCAACAGCAAACCTTTTAGCTCTCTTCTGTTTTGGTAACAAGCTTAAAAAGTGAAGTTACCCCAAAGCTGAGATAACAAATTTGGCCACTGATCCAGAAGGAAAAGATCCCTGTTACAAAGATCTATGCTCATAAACGAGAACACTTCATACTTTGTATTTGATCTCCACACCATTAGCGAACTGTGCAATTCTGCTACCCTGATACCAAAACTATAATAATTTATCAATTAAAAATATCTTTAAAATATAGGCTTTGGGTTTTTTTTTTTAAAAAAGCAAGAAAATATTTGTTTTCACCTTCTGTAAAAACAAAAATCCCAAAAGAAAACCCCCAAAGAAATAAATGTGAATTACAAAAAAGAATCCTTGAGAACATTACATTAAAAATAGAGATATTTTAGGCCTTTCTGATTCAGTCTTCTTTGGGTTGCTGTGAGTTTTCCAGGCTTCATGGCCATGTTCCAGAAGCATTCTTTCCTGACGTTTCACCCACATCTATGGCAGGCATCCTGAGAGGTTGTGAGGTATGTTGGAAACTAGGCAATATATAAACCCCACATGCCTAGTTTCCAACAGACCTCACAACCTCTGAGGATGCTTGCCATAGATGCAGGTGAAACGTCAGGAGAGAATGCTTCTGGAACACGGCCCTACAGCCTGGAAAACTCACAACAAACCAGTGATTCCGGTCATGAAATCCTTGGCAATACATCAGTCTTCTTTTTTATCCGAGGCACTTGAGTGATCATCTTCAGGGGTTTGAGGACAGACTTTATTCCTTGGCAAGGAGCTCTTCTCTGAAACTGGAGTTTTTGGAGTGGTGGCAGGTTGAAATTCAGCCTCTGTGTATAGCTGGCTGCGCTGCAGCTCAATATACGTGGTGAACAGCTTGGCGTATTCAGGATGTTTCAGGGCAAAATCCTTGAACTCTTCTAAAAAGGCAGAAATACAATGTTATACTTAAACAACAAGAAAGTATGCATGTTTCATTAAACCATAGTTTAGTTGGGGAACTTCTAGCTGGATCCAATCCTCCTGAATTTGTTTTTATTTATTTATTTACAGTATATATATCCCACCCTTCTCACACCACAGGGGACTCAGGGGGATTACAATGTACATATACATGGCAAACATTCAATGCCATAGACACACAACATATATAGACAGTAGGCATGGTTAGGTACTGTCAGAATCTTCGTCATTCAGAATAAAGTCGGAAAGATTACCTTTTTGAAGCGATTTTAAAGTTTTTAAGAAAACCGGAAGTCCCTTTGCCCTTCCAAAGTTTTTTCCACCATTTTTGTTACTATTCATGAAGTGAGTCAGAAATACAAGGGGCATTTTTAAAGTGAGGTCCGTTTTGTTGTAGACACTAGTAGTTCGTGCACATACTGCAACGAGCGCGTGCGTCGTGTACCGGCATGCCTCGGGAACAACTGTGCTCAGTTTCCGCTCTGTAGCTAACCTGTACGGTTCTGTTCTGTGCTTTAAAAATGTTTAAGACTATCAACTCACCCTCCGCATGTGAGGTTTGCTCAGTGATACGGTTTTTGTCAGCAAGAAACCTGCCTGCTGCAGAAATTCATCAACAGATTTGTGAAGTGTACGGTGATACTGTTATGAGTGAAAGCAAAGTGCGTAAGTGCATACGACAATTCAAAGATGGCCGTGACAACGTCCATGATGAGGACTGCTCCGGTCGCCATTCTTACAGACGTTTTGGTGGCTTTTGGTGGCGGCAAGTTTTTATGAAGAGGGTATTTTAAAATTGGTTCAGAGGTATGATAAGTGTTTGAACAAACTTGGCAACTATGTCAAAAAATAGAGTGAAGTATGTACTTTCTGAAAATAAATTTACTTTTTTGAATACATTTTCGTTGTGTTCTTATGTTCAAATGGACCTTACTTAAAAAATACCCCTAGTAATTCAGCTTTTCCCTGCTTTTGGTCCCTGGCCTCGGCTCAAGCCAGAGAAGCCAGTTTTAAACCAGAGAAGCAAGGAATTTCCTCCGCTTGCTTTTCCTCGCTTCTGGAGTAAAACAACTACTTTCAAAGTAAAGACCACCCAATGAAACAGGAAATAACACTTTCAAACCATTAACAATAGGATTCGGAAGTCTCAGAAGTTTTGAAAAGTTTTTTTTCTGTGAAAATCGGAATTGATTTTAGAATTGAACCACCAGCGCCACCTACATCCCAAACGAGTTTTGAACTATTTTTTTTTGGACCATCCAAGCCTAATAGACAGACACACAGAGACTATTTAACATTCCAGTTTACATGAGGATATTCTGGCCACCAGGGGAGCTATTGCTTCAACTTCCATTAGTAACAATGATGGAGTACTTCCTCATTCTTTTGTTGCATGGTTGATGGAGATTTTTATGGTGTCGTAAATTAGTTAAATTAGCCTCTCCACATAAGTGGTACCTAAATTTCCTACTTGACAGATGCAACTGTCTTTCGGGCTGCAAAGGTTGACAGCAAGCTACACAATGGTTGGAAGCTCACTCCGATCCGGGCTGGCTTCGAACTCAGTAGTCAGTAGTGATCTTAATGCAGCTGACTTCCAGCCAGCTGTGCCACATTCCTGGTGCACAATCCTTCTGAGCTTCCCTAGATGGTCACACTGGTTTCCTCAACCATTGTGAAGGTTTCTATACAGTTTGCAAAGCAGAATATTAGAATCATAGAATTGTGAGAGTCTACCAGGGTCATCCTAACTCTATTTGACCATGCAGGAAGGCAACTCACACACCCTCAACCGATGTCCATACAGTCTCCAGATAAAAACATCCAGAGATGGAGACTCCTCCGTGTTCTGAGGCAACACATTCCACAGCCGAAGAGCTCTTTATTTGGGAAGTTTTTCCCCAATGTTTAGGTGGAATCTCTTATCCTGTTGTTCAAATCCATTGCTCTATGACCTAGTTTTTGGAGCAGCAGAAAACAAGTTGGCTCCATCTTCCACAGGACATATGTTCAGATATCTAAACATGGTTAGCATGTCTCCTCTCAACCTTGTCTTTTCCAGGCAAAACATACCCCATTACCTAAGCTGCCCATCATAGCGATTCATGGTTTCCAGACCCCTGGACATTTTGGATACCTTTTTCTGGCCACCTTCCAGTTTGTCAATACCTTGCTTGAATGTTGATGCCCAAAACTGGACACCAGCTTAAAGTGTTACTATTAGAAATACCTCTTTTTGTGTTTAGTTACTAACAGTATTTACTGGACCTACTCATTTGCCGTTGTCTCTACTTTCCACTGGAATTCAGCCCCCAAGAACTTGTCAGAAATTGAACATGATCCTTAAGCTATAAGATGTCTCCCATCCTCCACTTGTTGTGAGTCTTACATTCTCCCTCACTAGTAAAATCATGAGAAGATATCTGGAAGGTATCGTTCCGTTCTTGTTAGAACTACTCCTTGATGTTTCTTTGCACTCAAAACTGTGGATAAAGGTTGAAACAAGCTGACTTCAGACAGTTGCTTATGTCTTGCTTAGTGAAAACACTGCTAGCATTAAGGAGAACTCAAGGTTTGGACAAAAACTCCTGTTTCACAGTCTTAGAAGAACTTCTCGACATCTCCAGAAACCAGCGGCAATCCCTATGGAAACCATGACAGATTGAACTTACCATAGGAAAGCTTGTTTGTCTTGTCGGCATCTATTTCCTTGAAAAGGTTAGAAACGTCAAGATCAGGAAGTCCAAGCGATGAACGGATAATTAAGGCGAATTCATCTTCTGATATGATACCATCTTCATCAATGTCAAAGAGCTGAGGAGAGAAATGGGAATTGAGACAGAGACATTTTAATGTTGACAGTGTTGCCTTCAAGACTTCTTCATTGCTATTGAGTGCTTGGGACAACTTTTGGTAGGAGCAGATTCAGGCATCTCGTGGACCACTTTCTCCTCCTATTCAAAAGATTAAGAAGGTCGAGAACAGGTCTTTTCTAGACATGTATTCTGATTCATAGAATCATAGAATCATAGAGTTGGAAGAGACTTCATGGGCCATCCAGTCCAACCCCATTGTGCCAAGAAGCAGGAAAATTGCATTCAAAGCACCCCTGACAGATGGCCATCCAGCCTCTGTTTAAAAGCTTCCAAAGAAGGAGTCTCCACCACACTCCAGGGCAGAGAGTTCCCCTGCTGAACAGCTCTCACAGTCAGGAAGTTCTTCCTCATGTTCAGATGGAATCTCCTTTCTTGTAGTTTGAAGCCATTGTTCCACGTCCTAATCTCCAGGGCAGCAGAAAACACACTTGCTCCCTCCTCCTTATGACTTCCCCTCACATATTTATACATGGCTAGCATGTCTCCTCTCAGTTATATAGTTCTCGTATACCTTCTCATCATGATACAGAAATAACCGTGGGCTTTTTATTTATCACTAGCCATCCCCTGGCATGCGTTGCTGTGGCCCAGTCTGGTGATCTGGAAAATGAAGTAATGGGAAAGTGTTGGTTTCTATTATATGTAATGTCTTTATGCTTGTGGGTAAACAGTTTTCCTGCTGTTTCTTAGTCAGTGTTGATGTGGAGATTGTCTGGTTTGCCTACTCTGGAACAGACAACATATATTTGTCCTTCTTTAGGGGTCCCTTTCAAATCTAGGATACAATATCTCTAAGTGAATCATATATATCTATCTATATCTGTGGCTGGATCTCTCTCTGTCAGGAGGGATTTGATGACGTTTTCTTGCCTTGGTGAAGGTTGTTGGACTGGATGGCCTTAAGTATTTTCTGTTGCTCATGGGGGTTCTGTGTGGGAAGTTTGCCCCAATTCTGTCGTTGGTGGGGTTCAACATGCTCTTTGATTGTAGGTGAACTATAAATCCCAGTAACTACAACTCCCATATGTCAAGGTTTATTTTCTCCACACTCCATCTTTTTTCATATTTGGGCATATGGAATATTCGTGCCAAGTTTGGTCCAGATCCATCATTATTTGAGTCCACAGTGCTCTCTGGATGTAGGTGATCTACAACTCCCAAACTCAAGGTCAGTGCCCTCCAAACCCTTCTAGTGTTTTCTGTTGGTCATGGGAGTCTTGTGTGCCATGTTTCAATTCCATCATTGGTGGAGTTCAGAATGCTCTTTGATCGTAAGTAAACTATAAATCTTAGCAACTACAACTACCAAATGACAAAATCAATTTTTTTTAGTGATGGTCACTCCTTGGGTTAGTAGGTGTCTTGTGGCCAAAGTGAGTTGAGAGTACAGTTAACATGTATTTAAAAACACAAAGTTAAAAAAAACCTTGATATTATTCTAAATGTCCTTTGACCAGTATCTGGCCACTTGGAGTGCCTCTGGCGTCGCTGTGAGAAGGTCCTCCATTGTGCATGTGGCAGGTCTCAGGTTGCATTGCAGCAGGTGGTCTGTGGTTTGCTCTTCTCCATACTCGCATGTTGTGGACTCCACTTTGTAGCCCCAATTTTTAAGGTTAGCTCTGCATCTTGTGGTGCCAGTGCACAGCCTGTTCAGTGTCTTCCAGGTCACCCAATCTTCTGTGTGCCCAGGAAGGAGTTTCTCATCCGGTCTCAGGAACTGATTGAGGTGCTGGGTTTTAACCTGCCACTTTTGGATTCTTGCTTGCTGGGGTGTTCTTGCAAGTATCTCTGTTGATCTTAGGAAGCTATTTCTTGATTTAAGGCATTGGCATGCTGGGTGATATCTGGACAGAGGAATGGCTGGAGATATCACTGCCTTGGTCCTTTAGTTATTTTCTGCTCAACAGATGGCAGTACTGGTCTGCGGCAGGTACTGACTTGTTCAGTAGACTCTCCTCTACAGTTCCATTTTGGTGGGAAGCCTTAGCATTGAACAGTTGTGTTGTTAAAGTATGGAACCCTGCACAGAACAGAAGTGTTTGATCTTAGGCACTAAATCAAGGACTTACCTGAAATGCCATTTGAATAGTCTGTTCTGTATTTGCAGGATTGCAGAGAACAGACAAGCCAATCACATATTCTCTGAAGTCTATAGAACCATCTCCATTCTGTAACAAAGACAAGGCGATAATTATTTAATTGTGGAGTATGATAGAGATTCAATTGCTCCTTCTGATATGCTCAGTTTTATGAGCTTTTAAGAGAAGTAATGAAAGCATATCAATCTCACCCACATCTTCTTCCACTTTTTGTTTTACAAGTTCTTACATGGTTTTGCTCCTTGCCCTCTTCTATGACAATTATTGCACTTAAATATTTTTCTGTACTAATGTGTGCATTTATTTACTCTTTCTGTGTACATTGGCTGCTAAGATGACAAATGAATGGATGTTAGAGTCAATCAAACCTGACCTCTCTCTAGAAGCCAAGAGGACCAAACTAAGGCTGTTGCATCTTATCATGAAAAGACAGGATCCTCTAGAAAATACAATGTCTGTAAGGTAGAAGGAAATGGGAAAAGAGGAAAACTGCATTCCAGATGGATAGACTCAACCAAGGAAGCCATACTTGCCCTGACTCTGTGAGATCCTGAGCAGTTCCCAAGTAATTGTGTAGTTCTGTTAATGGAGTGGTTCCATAATTGTGTAGCTCAGTGTGTCATTCTGTAATTGTATGTAATGACAAAAACAAAACACCCACCGGGTAGGTACATGACTTCTTCTCTCACGTTCTGCACTGGCTGCCGGTCCATTTCCAAGTACAATTCAAAGTGCTGGACTTGGCCTATAAAGCCCTATATCGCTCCAGCCCAGCGTACTTGTCCAAATGTATCTCCCTTTATGTTGCATCTCATAGTTTAAGATCCTCCGGGGAGGCCCTACTCTTGGTGCCACCAGCCTTGCAAACGCGACTGGTGGGAACGAGGGACAGGGCCTTCTCGGCGGTGACCCCCCGCTTGTGGAATTCTCTCCCCAGCAAGATTAGATCGCCGTCCTCCCTCCTTTCCTTTAGGAAAACACTGAAATTGTGATTATGGAATCAGGCCTTTGGATAGCAGGCACAACGGCACTTTGGACATTGAACTGGACCATATGATTGTTATGATAATGGAAACGGCTATATGACTGTATAAGTAATGTTATTGTTTTTAATCTATTGTGTATTTATGGTTTTATATTGTTGTTATACTGTGTTATTGCGGCATTGATTGTTGCCAGTGTTAGCCACTCTGAGTCCCCCCTCGGGGGTTGAGAAGGGTGGGGTAGAAATGTTGTAAATAAATAAATAAATAAATAAATAAACAATCCCTATACTGTACATGAGACTTATTGTCTCATGGTCAAGTCTCAGCTCCTTTAACTGTCCCTCTATTTCCACATCTCCACTTGCTTGACCCTTCAGTGGAATATGCTGTGACCACATGTCTATTAGAACTGTATTTTCCCCAACAGTTATGCACAATGGAGTTTACAGGCAATGCATTTCTATCTAATACAGCATTATCTACCTAACATTGTGTAGTAGTGTAGTTCTGTAATTGTGTAGTTTTGTAGTTCAGTAATTTTGTAGTTCTGTAATTGTGTACTTCTGTAATTTTGAAGTGTGATAGTCTTGTAGTTCTGCATTAGGGCTGAGATACGTCCAGACAAACACAAGTGTTTATTTAGATCTTCACAGCTGCTGCTACTGAAGCCAAGTCATGCCAAAAGAGATATAAAAAGCAACAGAACGGCAGGGCGTTTCCCCATTGGGTGTGTGAAGGGAATAATAAAAAGAGAGAAAGAGGTGCCGCAATTAGGAAACAAAAAATAAAGAGACAGGGCTTAACTTTGTGTACATTTCCAAGATACTACGAAATTATTCATGCACAGTCCACCCAGCTCAACATGTCAGCTCCTTTGTCTGGGGCTGAGAAAGCAAAGAGGCAAACCTGGGATTACAATAAGTTGGACAACTTGTCTCAGCTTTGTCCTTTTCCACTCATTTCTCTATACGCTTGAAACTGCCTCCTTGAATATTTGCAGGCTGCTCTCTCCCTTGTCAGTTTTGCATCTTACATTTAAAGCTTACTTTCCTCCAAAACGTTTGGAATAATAATTTTATTTTGTTTCCGACTCATGTACATTTTGATTAGATGTCATTCATTCATTCATCATTAGGTGATCCTTCATTGTCCGAGTAAGATTGTCTTCCAAGTTCGGTGTACTGGTGGTACCTGTTGCATACCAGTACTGTCATCTGTTGAGGAGTTACGAAGGTGGAGACATTACTTTTCATCTATCTATCTATCATCTATCTATCTATCTATCTATCTATCTATCTATCTATCTCTATCTATCTATCTATCTATCTCTATCTATCATCATCTATCTATCTATCTATCTATCTATCTATCTATCTATCTATCTATCTATCTATCTATCTCAGTGTTTCTCAACCTTCCTAATGCTGCGACTCCTTAATGTTGTTGTTTTTCATTCGTTCAGTCGTCTCTGACTCTTCGTGACCTCATGGACCAGCCAACGCCAGAGCTCCCTGTGGGCTGTCACCACCCCCAGCTCCTTCAAGGTCAGTCCAGTCACTTCAAGGATGCCATCCATCCATCTTGCCCTTGGTCGGCCCCTCTTCCTTTTGCCTTCCACTTTCCCCAGCATCATTGTCTTCTCTAGGCTTTTCTGTCTCCTCATGATGTGGCCAAAGTACTTCAACTTTGTCTCTAGTATCCTTCCCTCCAATGAGCAGTCGGGCTTTATTTCCTGGAGGATGGACTGGTTGGATCTTCTCGCAGTCCAAGGCACTCTCAGAACTTTCCTCCAACACCACAGTTCAAAAGCATCTCTCTTCCTTCGCTCAGCCTTCCCTAAGGTCCAGCTCTCACATCCGTAGGTTACTACAGGGAATACCATGGCTTTGACTAGGCGGATCTTTGTTGCCAGTCTGATGTCTCTACTCTTTACTGATTTTATCGAGACTGGACATTGCTCTCTTCCCAAGAAGTAAGCGTCTTCTGATTTCCTGGCCACAGTCTGCATCTGCAGTCATCTTTGCGCCTAGAAATACAAAGTCTATCACGGCCTCCTTAATACAGTTCCTCATGTTGTGGTGACCCCCGACCATAAAATTATTTTCATTGTGACTTCATAACTCCCTTCAGCCTTGCATGCTCTCCCTCGCCCACACATGCACACCACACCGCCATGTGCCAAGCACACCTGCTCTCCCCGAAGCAGCTCTCCCCTTGGCTGAGAGGCTGGCTCCTCACAGCAGGAGGAGGGCTTTTTTTTTGGAGGATTTGCTGTCTGTTTCCAAAAAAGAAGAGAAGGACAGGCGGAGAGATCTTCAGCCTTCTCTGCCAAAGGGGTTCCAAAGACTATCAGAAATATATGTTTCCTGATGGTCTTTGGCAACCTCTTTGAACCCCCTCACGATCCCCCCAGGAATCCCGACCCTCAGGTTGAGAAACGCTGATTTATCTCTTCATGTATTTAATCTATCTATCTATCTATCTATCTATCTATCTATCTATCTATCTATCTATCTATCTATTTTCATTCTATCCTTTTCCTAACATATTTCTAGTTCAATTTCCCTCAGTCTTACAGTGATGCTGGACTACAACTCCCACCATCGTCAACACTATCACTACAGTTGATAGGAACACATCAGAAATATGCTAGTTTTGGGAGGAGATATGATAGCCGTGTATCAATATGTGAGAGGAAGCCACAGGGAGGAGGGAGCAAGCTTGTTTTCTGCTTCCTTGGAGACTAGGACGCGGAACAATGGCTTCAAACTACAAGAGAGGAGATTCCATCTGAACACGAGGAAGAACTTCCTGACTGTGAGAGCCGTTCAGCAGTGGAACTCACTGCCCCGGAGTGTGGTGGAGGCTCCTTCTTTGGAAGCTTTTAAACAGAGGCTGGATGGCCACCTGTCAGGGGTGATTTGAATGCAAAATTCCTGCTTCTTGGCAGATTGGAGTTGGACTGGATGGCCCATGAGGTCTCTTCCAACTCTTTGATTCTATGATTCTATTTGCATTTCTTCCTCTTATACAGAACTTGGATCATCACTGTGCACCCATTATAGAGTAGGAAGGGGGATTTTCATTGAGTTTCTCCAAATCACGCCCTCTTTTGTTTCATATCCAGTGGCAAAACCTGAAAGTTTTAATTCCTATCCTGAATTTCGCACAGTTTCATTTAATTTTCCAAATTTACAGAGCATTCCTCCCACCAACTGCAGCATTTTGTGGCCTCTGTTGTTCCATTTAGGTGCCTTTTAGCTGCTCACAATTTAAAAGAGAAAGATTGATTTGTGTGCACTTAAGTTCTCAGGAATGACATACATCAAGGGTTTGGCAAATGCTGGAGCTGAGATGCATATTTCCCTGAAATAAGTCTCAGCAGATGTGAAGCCAAGGCCCCGCCTGCACAACCATATAATGCAGTTGGAATCTCTATTATATAGCCGTTGTTGTTGTTGTTGTTGTTGTTGTTGTTATTACTATTATTCAACAGCCATAGGAGTGTCTGCTGTGGCCTCATCTTGTTGTGTTTCAAATAATAATAATAATAATAATAATAATAATAATAATAATAATAATAATAGACAATAGATCAAATCCTCAGCTGCTGTAAGAAGATCGTGCAAACAGACTACAAGCAGAGGCATAACACCGTTGCTCAGATGATTCATTGGAACTTGTGCCACAAATACCATCTGCCTGTGACAAAGAACTGGTGGGATCACAAGCTGGAAAAAGTCACAGAGAATGAACATGTCAAGCTACTCTGGGACTTCCGAATTCAGACTGACAGAGTTTTGGAACACAATACTCCTGACCTCACGATCGTGTTAAAAAACAAAGTATGGATTGTCAATGTTGCAATCCCAGGTGACAGCAGGTTTGAAGAGAAACAAATGGAAAAGCTGATATAATATGAGGATTTAAAGATCGAACTGCAAAGACTCTGGCACAAGCCAGTCAAGGTGGTCCCAGTGGTGATTGGAACACTGGGTGCAGTGCCTAAAGACCTTGGCCTGCACTTAAATGCAATTGGCACTGACAAAATTACCATCTGCCAGCTGCAAAAGGCCACCTTAC